TTTTTTTTTTTTTTTTTTTGGTATTATAGGAATATTGCAATTTTTGAGAGAAAAATTCGTAACTCGCGACCCATTTGATGAAATTTGATGAAATTTTTTTTGAGAGTTGCTGAAGCTTTTCCCTTTACAATAGAAAGATTTGCAGAATAAAATTTGCAAAACAATTACTTCTATAATAACAATAATTTAAACAATTGCAATTACTTATATATTCTAGGCCCGCGATTGCAGTGAAATTTTGGCACAATATACTCTAAACTCTTGTTTTTAAGTTCCAAAAAGAAAAAAATGGTCTTTCCAATTTTGACAGTCGCTATCGATTTTTTTCTCAAGTAGTAAATAAACATAAGTTGTAAATAAACATTGATATTTCAAGTTATACGTTAAATAATGTACGTACTTTTATAATTATTCATTAATTAACATACAAATGCTATCACTCACACAAGCTTATATGAAAATAGCTATTTACTCAAGGCTTAAAGGTGAGAAAAAAATCGATAGCGACTGTCAAAATTGGAAAGACCAATTTTTTCTTTTTGGAACTTAAAAACAAGAGTTTAGAGTATATTGTGCCAAAATCTCACTGCAATCGCGGGCTTAGAATATATAAATAATTGCAATTGTTTAAATTATTGTTAGTAAAGAAATAATTGCTTTGCAGATTTTATTCTGAAAATCTTTCTATTGTAAAGGGAAAAGCTTCAGCAACTCTCAAAAAAGGTTTCATCAAATTTCATCAAATGGGTCACGAGTTACGAATTTGTCTATCAAAAATTGCAACATTCTTTTAATACCAAAAAAAAAAAACAAAAACGAAGTGCAATTTAGAAAAACCCTCCAAAGTGTATTTTTGTTCTATAATTATCTACAGATTCCCACAATTGTCTTCAATTTCCAGAAAATCAATGAAAATTCATTGACACAGTTGGCATCAAATTCGTTGTTATTAAACTGAAAGTTATTTTCGAGATATCTAACAACACACGACAAAAAAAAACGTCAGCCTTCTTTTTGAATAATTTAAGCTCCATCACATTATCGCACCTGGTACGTAACGACCCGGCGATATGCCCGTAAAAGATTGATCTTTTTGTTGTATTAATTTCTTAGGCATATCAAACATTAT